CTTTTTCCCCATTACACCTCATCATTTTGAATTGTTAACTTGGTGGAGAAAAACTTATATATCACGGGGATAACATTATTTAGATATTCTAACCAATCACGTTCCGCTACGTTAATTTTTTCACATGACGAAATGTGATTTAACAGAAATAACAAAAGAATAGTATCCTCGTGACATGCAAATTCTTCGCACTAGTGAGCAGTGGTGATTAATTAATGGAAAAGATATGGCCAAGATTTGAAGCTTAACGGGTCAAAACTCAAAACCACTCAAATTTACTAAAAAAAGTTGATTTCTTTTTTGAATTGTTTTGGGGTGCAACATTTTTCAATTTTGAAAAAGTTCTCGTGAGTGAGAGTGCATGTGATGTTGGCATGTTGAATAGAATAGCAGGTGCCTTAAGCTGTAGGACTCGTGTTCTTACTTGTAGGACCATACATGTCACGCAACTACATAGAGCCAAAAAAAGTCTGTAAATTGAATAAACAAGAATTAGTCAACTGGGGATAAGGGAGCGATTCTTAGTACTTTAAATTACTGGGGAATAAACAAACATGTACTGAAAATTTCATTATATATATAATAGGAACCAAAAAGTTTATTGATTATAGTCATAGAGCTTAGATGTCACGCAACTACATAGAGCCAAAAAAAGTCTGTAAATTGAATAAACAAGAATTAGTCAACTGGGGATTAGGGAGCGATTCTTAGTACTTTAAATTACTGGGGAATAAACAAACATGTACTGAAAAAGTTTATTGATTATAGTCATAGAGCTTAGCCTAGGGGGAGGCAAATCATTGAGATTGAAATTTTAAAATATAAGCAACCCTAGCTACGAGTAGTTTATTATCCCAATCTGGAGCTCCATGTTAGCTAAGCTAACTGACTTTGTCAAAGGGATGCTCATTGCTCATGCTCCCCACAGGAAAGGGACAGAAAGTCGATGGGTCCCTAAAGTATTTTATCCATGAAGCGTTTCCCTCTCTCTCACGGCCGGCCTATGAATCTATGATGATGATCATCAGATTTTGTTAAGCATCGGTGGGTCAGGGGGAGGACCCCATCTGGCCACTTTCGTACATGCCCGTGTCTTGTGGATGATAGAAAGAAAGAAACGCGTACAAACATAAATTTGTCGGACAAAAGATATTCATCCTTTTTCTACTTTCTGAAATCAATCATCTTATTACAACTAAGAAAAACTACGCCTCAGATTCTAAATATAATTGGAGCTTCACATGAAAAACTTCATATGTTGGTCCCATTTCCTTTTCTTCTTTCTTTTTTATTTATTTAAAATTTATAAAAAAAAGTCTGACAGGGTTGGCTTACTTAAAGATCTACTGAGCTGGGTATGTAAAAAATCAGACTGGGCTTGAAGCCTTGACCAATGAAACTCTAATGGGTTTGGTATTTTTGTGGTTTCAGCTATTGTGGGAGACGGGTTCATAGCCCAAGGCATTACGTTTGAAAACTCAGCAGGCCCAAGCAAACACCAAGCGGTAGCCTTAAGGAGCGGCTCTGATTTCTCTGCATTCTACAAGTGCAGCTTCGTGGGCTACCAAGACACCCTCTACGTTCATTCCCTCCGCCAATTCTACCGCGAATGCGACATCTACGGCACCGTCGATTTCATCTTCGGCAACGCCGCCGTCGTCCTCCAGAACTGCAACCTCTACGCGCGCAAACCAAACGACAACCAGAAGAACATGTTCACGGCCCAAGGCCGTGAGGACCCCAACCAGAACACTGGCATTTCCATCTTGAACTCCAAAGTCGCAGCCGCTTCTGATCTGGTCCCGGTCAAGTCAAAGTTCAAAACGTATCTCGGCCGTCCGTGGAAAGAGTATTCTAGGACGGTTTACATGTTATCATACATTGATGATTTGGTGGAGCCCGCTGGTTGGCTGGAGTGGAATGGCACGTTTGCATTGAGTACGTTGTATTATGGGGAGTATTTGAACCGAGGACCCGGTTCGAATACAAGTGCGAGGGTGACGTGGCCGGGTTACCGGGTCATCAACAGCTCAGCTGAGGCGAGTCAGTTCACGGTTGGGGCGTTTATACAAGGAAATGAGTGGCTCAATGCTACCAATATTCCTTACTATACTGGTTTGACTGCTTGAGCAGAAATATTACGCACGCTGCTGGCAGGCCCATCTTTAAATTAATTAATGTAACATAATATTATTATGTTGCGTTATATTATATATTATATATTATATGTGTGCCTCTTAATTGTCTCCTCATATAAATCAAATGGTTAGCGTAAAATTCTTTCCCTTGCACCAAAGTTTGAGTCGCTCTCCTCATATATTAAACTAATTTACACTATCGAATAAGAGTTTATGTCTTAAAAGTAGCATTATTGGCATGCATTAGTCCGTCTCCATAAAGAATGATGCCAATTTCTGCAACAAAACCGTAAATGGCGGGATGTCAACTGGAAATAATGAAAGCTCAGCTGAAAAAATAATTGACCTGCCATGACAAGATTTCGAGAAGAAAATAAAGGTACCGTGTCAATTGTCATGCCATGAGCTTGGGACGGTGGGACCCCACCAGAGGAGTCTCTTTTCCTTTTCTCCTTCAATAACGAAGTACGTTCATTATCCAAAATGTGATGAATGCAGAGCAGAGGTAGAAGATAGTTGAAAGGCATGACATTTATTTTAAGGATTAGAAATGAAGCCCTGTTTGGTTCATGGGAAAAGAGACTTGGGTATGGGAAATCAATTATTTTCCCATATTTGGTAAGTGGTAAGTCTAGGCAAGAGAAATCGTTGCCTTGCACATGGGAAAAGTACGAGGGAAAGTGAAGCCATCCTCCCCTTTGGGTTTTGTTTTCCTTTTCATAGGAAAGTTCGGAAATTTTTCATGACCATATTGTCCCCCTTAATAATATAGCATTAAATGCAATTTTTTTATTTTTTATTTTATATGGGTATAATTGGAAAATTAAACAAACTTTGTTTACATTTCTATACAAACCAAACATGTGAAAGGAAATAAAATGGTATTTCTTGATTATTTTCCTAGGATTATCAAACATATGAAATAAATCTCAATTTCCCATCCCTTGAGATATGACATGGGAAGTGATTTCCCATCAAATCCGTTCCGTGAACCAAACGAAATCTAAGAGGAGAGCGCATATTGCACATTGAAATGGACAAGTCCAGTCGACTCGACCCCCATCCATTGAATTTTGAAGTCGAGCTAATTTATTTAGTTGATTGCCTTCTAAAAAGGAAAGCATGAAAGAAAATGAATATGGTGTCACGGTGTCAGCTTTTTAGGTCATGTTGAATTGATTCGTTACTGTCTGTATATAACTTGTCTTGTTTTACAGAGAGGCAGAGCAAGAAGATGAACATGAATGCATGCTTTAGCCATGTGGGAGGGTTCCACCGTACCAGAGGAGCACATGATCATGATCCGAATAAGCCATTTTCACAAACATGCTCTCTCTCTAAAGTCTCTCTCTACACTGGACTGGATTCATCTGCAGTCTACAGGGGTCAAATCTGGGCAATCGGTTTCTCACCAGAAGCTAGCTCCATAATTGAATGCATCATATCATCCATTTTCATTATTATTAATTCCCCTTCTATCCAAAACTCTTTTTTTATTTTTTATATTTTTATAAATACAAGTGATATTGGGGAAAAGAAAATCGAACCTAGAACTGTTCCAGTGTAAATGCTCTTATCCAAAACTCTTCAATCTTCATTGTGTGGTCCATTTCCTCTTTTTCTTCTGGGTGATACCTTTTGTTGTCTGGCCCCTTGTACGTGTAACAAAACTTACTCAAGAATGCGTATGGTGGGTAACATGCTTTGGCTTTTGGGGTCCTCTTGTAATTATACAAAAAAATTTAAGGCTCAAAATACCCCACCATGTAATATGATGCTGTATCGCTTATGCAAACACAAAACAGACCGATCATTAGAAAATAAAAAAAACAAGTAATCTTCTCAACATGGCACTGGTGATCATAGGAAGAAAGAAAACTTTTTCACAGCACATGCTTCGAAGTAAGTAGGGATTCATCATGATATTATAATCTTTTGCTCATCCTCGTCCTGACTAGAGATGAGGCTGTTTAGAGAGCTTCTTCTAACTTGGTCCGAGTTATCAAATGCTGCTGTTAATTTTGTGCAAAATCCATAAGGTCAGGTCGGTAGTGGCTTAGAACCAGAAGTTGAGGTGTTTTTTTGGCTCCTTATTCATATTTCTTGATTCATGAGCTCCATCCATCACAAGCATTGGTACTTATGAATGGGTCTTTATTGACCATTTTGTGATGGGTGAATTCAAATCTCACAACTCAAACATCTGCACCGGAAGCAAAACCCACGTTTAGGCTCACTACTTTTCTCCGACAGCATATTATTTCAGTTCAAATGTCGAATTCGAGCCCATCTTTATACGTGTTCATCACCTTTCTCTGACACTAGTTTTTGACTCTGTGTCATAGTGTATGGGCAACAGTTCCACTAAGCTCAGTTCCAAAGCTATTGGAGCTTACTCCAGTTCAGTTGTAACCATAACAATCAAACAAGGGTTCAAAAACCAACTTATTATTTTATCAAATTTTTTCTACAGATTAAAAGCCCGTGACCAGTAATCTCCAAGGCATTAAATTTGCCTTTTGTTATTATTATTTTAAACTATCTGTAATTTCCAGATAAATAAGTGAAACACCAAAAATATTATTTGAGCTTTCTTTTGCAAATGAGAGTAGGGACCCCCCCCATGGGATGGGACCAGTATTGTTAATGGGGGCAGACACATGCCAGAATATCAAAAGGGACATGCACATTACCTTACACGGTGAGTGAACCAAAACAGTGACAAATATGCCTCATTTGCAAAAGGATAATTTAAATCTTAATTAACAAAAGCCAAAGCCATTATTGGAGGATGTGGAGTTAATTATGATTATGACCTAGCACGTTAAAGAGAGACCCAGCTAGCTAGCAGTTTATAAATACAAAGGGAGGGAGGTGTCTGCTTCTTCCACTGCGGCTTCCAGTTCCACAGGTTGGCAGTTGGTTTGTTGGTTGGGTATTGTATTATTACCTTCTTACTTGGGGCAGCCAAAATGGCTCTGTTTGGTTTCTCTTTCCCACTTGTATTTCTCCTCCTCTCTTGCTTTACCACTCTGCTGCTCTGCAATGCCAATGCCTTTCCTGGGCACTACCACAACCCAATCCAACGCCATCGCCATCCTCGCTTTGCCAGTCACAACTACAGGGATGCTCTCACTAAGTCCATCCTCTTCTTTGAAGGCCAGAGGTCAGGGAAGCTCCCTTCTAACCAGAGGATTTCCTGGAGGAGAGACTCTGGTCTTTCAGATGGCTCAGCCCTGCATGTATGCAAAAACCCACCTTTTTTCTTTCTGTCTTTCTTTGTTTTGGTTTTCTTTCTCAACTGGGATTTTCCTCATTTCTATTCTATGTGGTGCTCTCAAATGCAGGTTGATTTGGTTGGAGGGTACTATGATGCAGGGGACAATGTGAAGTTTGGGTTTCCCATGGCTTTTACCACCACCATGCTTTCATGGAGTGTTATTGAGTTTGGTGGGTTGATGAAGGGTGAGTTGCAGAATGCCAAGGAAGCCATTCGTTGGGCTACTGATTACCTCCTCAAAGCAACTGCCCACCCAGGCACCATCTATGTTCAGGTTTTTGCTCTGCATTCTTCATGTTTCTTGTGTCTATTCTTTCTTTTAGAGAACAGGCATTTTGTTCCCTGTTGTTTTTTTTTTTGTTCTATCAGAAATTAACAAAATTTATAGGGGGATAAGAACATATACGCTAAGGTTGATTCTGGGTGTTACTTGGTAGGTTGGTGATGCTAACAAGGACCATGCTTGTTGGGAGAGACCAGAAGACATGGATACCCCAAGAAGTGTTTTCAAGATTGACCAAAACACCCCTGGTTCTGAAGTAGCAGCTGAAACGGCTGCTGCTCTTGCAGCTGCTTCATTGGTCTTCAGAAGAAGTGACCCTACTTACTCCAAACTTTTGGCCAGGAGGGCTATTAGCGTAAGTAAATATGTGAAGCTAAACCAAACTTGAAACTTTAACGCCAAAAGAAATAAGAAACAGGGTGGGTCTTTCTCTACTGTTCTTCCAAAGTTCCCCAAAAACTGAGATCATGTTTGCTTCTGGGTCCAGGTGTTTGAGTTTGCTGATAAGCACAGAGGAGCCTACAGCACTCGATTGAAGAAATATGTGTGCCCCTTCTATTGTGATTACTCTGGTTATCAGGTAAACATTTCAGTTAATTTTCCAATACCCCAATTACATTGTTCTTTCTACTTTCTAGAGGGTGGCTAAACCTAAAGGTATCATCTTTTTTGTTTCCTGATAATGCTAGGATGAGCTGTTGTGGGCTGCTGCTTGGCTGCAAAAGGCCACCAAAAATCCAGCCTATCTCAACTACATTCAAGCTAATGGCCAGATACTTGGGGCCGCCGAGTTTGATAACACATTTGGATGGGATAATAAGCATGTTGGAGCAAGAATTCTTCTTTCCAAGGTCCCATTTCTATAATAAAAAACTTGTTTTTGCAGCTGGCTTTATCTTTTATGTTCCTCAGTCTTTTGATCTATAATGCGCCCTTTGATTTTACAGGCATTCCTCATCCAGAAGGTCAGATCCCTCCATGACTACAAAGGTCATGCAGATAGTTTTATCTGTTCAATCATACCAGGAGCCTCTTACTCTTCAGCCCAATACACCCCAGGTATTGTTTTCTCTCTCTCTCTCTCTCTCTCTCTTAAAAGACTAGAGAGTGGTCCTGTTTGTAACGGCTAGTATTGGTCTTGGTTTTTGTTGCAGGTGGTCTTCTTTTCAAAATGAATGATAGCAACATGCAATATGTGACCTCCACCTCATTTCTGCTCTTGAGCTACGCCAAATACTTAAACACTGCCCGCCAGGTGGTCAATTGTGGTGGAACCGCCATCACCCCTAAGAGGCTCCGAGCTATTGCCAAAAGACAGGTCAGTGTCCCACAAACACATTTCAAGCAAGTATCTGTGTCTTAATTAATCTCTTTTTAATTATGTTATGAATGTTTTATCAGGTGGATTACCTACTAGGAGACAATCCCTTGAAGATGTCCTACATGGTGGGTTATGGCCCAAGGTACCCACAAAGGATTCACCACAGGGGGTCATCCCTGCCGTCCATTGCCGCACACCCAGCCAAGATCCAATGCTCTTCCGGGTTCAGTGTGATGAGGTCCCAGTCCCCCAACCCCAACATCCTGGTGGGTGCAGTGATTGGTGGGCCCGACCAGCATGACAGTTTCCCAGATCAACGGTCAGATTATGAGCAGTCAGAGCCAGCCACATACATTAACGCACCCCTTGTAGGGACACTAGCTTATCTTGCTCACTCATTTGGGCAGATGTAGCTAAAGACCCAAGCTAGCTTTCTTCTTGAGAGATTCTCCAACTTGTTAGGTGTTTTGGGTTTGTTTTAAATTCTAGTAAAGTAAGCTCTTCTTTTTAGTTATGGTTGCAAAGTGCACGCGGTGATAGGGTCGAGATTAAGAGCTCTCCCAAACTGCGAAGCACAACACAATGGTCAAGGTCTAGATCATGTAGTAGGTCTTGGTTCATATAAAAATATTGTTGTTTCCTCTGGTGCAAGAGAAAGTATCGTGCCAGTAACGGTGTTTATTTGTAAAAGTTTTATGGGCTCTAAGATTGGACATCCTTTTTGAGTTTTCAACTTTACTCTAATTTTGTAGCTTACGTTTGTCCTCTAGTGTTTAACTAGCAATAACTTAGTGTTGTTTGGTATTAAAATATGGAAATCGTCGGACGTTCTGCCCAAGGACCTAAATAAGCTATCTAACAACAATGGTCCTAGATTAGATTCAAACCACATGACTAGCAACAAGCAAGAAAAACATAATTAAGAACAAGGAGAATGGGTGGCAGTGGATGATGTAACAAGTGATTAAATATTTTAGTTACTGTTGGTTGGTACTTTGGTGGATAAAGAGAGAGAGAGAGAGAGAGAGAGAGAGAGAGAGAGAGAGAGAGAGAGAGAGAGAGAGAGAGAGAGAGAGAGAGAGTATTTGACCGTTGAAAATGAGGGTGAAAACACATGGAAGGAAGAAGATTTTGTGTAGCAGCATGCGATATGGTCAAAAAAGCTGGTTATATGCATGCAGGCAGGCTTGTCAGGGATGTCAGGTGTCAGAAGAGAGTGTAAAACGCGAGAAAGTGGCCTAGGTCTAGTCTTTCTGTTTCTGGCAAGGGGAGAGAGAGAGAGAGAGAGAGAGAGAGAGAGAGAGATCACATGGCAATAAACCAAAAGACATTCCCCAACTCAGGTATGGTATGATTGGATTGGACTGGCTTGAATTGGAGCAGAAATAAGGTATGATTGAATTGGAGCAGAGCATAAAATATACTCTTTGATTGAGTTTTTCAACCCACAGGCTCCTTTGGTGTACAGCCCAGTAACCTGTGGGCGCATATAAAAAAAGTGTCCATTTCTGTTCCATCATGTGGTGTCCTGCAAAAACGTTCAAATAATATGATATTGTGTTATCTTGTTAACATATATTGTTGTCCAATTATAAGATTTTCGATTTTTGAACAAATTCGTAACCCATGACAATTTGTTTTGGCAGGCATATCAATCCGTTAACAAGAGCTTTATTTTATTGTAATTTTACAATGCCGCAGCAGAAGAGCTTGGATCCAGTTCAATATTATTACATATACATACACAACACAAAGCGTAACTTTATTTTATCTGTACAACCATTACCTTGTGAATCAGAGTCACTGAGTTATGGCTTCAACAGCTCAGCAATTGAAGCTTTTGATGTCAATCATCACCACGCATCACTCCTCACTTGCTGGAGGAACAGAATTTGCCTGAAACAACAATTCAAGCATAATGAATTTTATGAAGAGAATTCATTTGATCTCAACCAAAGATTGTCATTCACGTAACAATAACAATAATACTAACTACTCACCAAATCCCGGAACTTCAGAATGTAGAACATCTCGAGATATCGTCTGGTCTCACGCCTTTCTAGCTTTGACACATACTTCCAGAAACCATAAACACCAGCCAATGTCATTAGCCTTTCTGAATAAATCTTCCATGTGTACCTGCAATGTTACAAAGGTCCCGCCAGACTTCATATAACACATTGTTTTTAAACAAGTACTAATGCTATCCCACCACACAAGTGTATAAAAGATACTAACCTTTCATAAATTCTTTTAAGGCCTGCATCTGAGAATGTACTCCAATAGCTTGGATCCTCCTTACAACGTTCAAAGAAATCTGCCATAAGTGCACCAGCCTGCTCAGGGTGATAAGGATCAATATGAATTCCTGATTTACCGTGCTCAATAATCTCGGCAGGGCCACCATGGCAAGTGGCAAATGTTGGAAGGCCACAAGTCATGGCCTCCACAACTGTCAGTCCAAAAGCTTCGTACAATGCAGGCTGCGATTACAAACACAAAACAAAGTAAATTAGATTGCCCCAGGAGTTCTCTATGAAACAAATTGACTGACGCCTATATATAATGTACCTGAACAAAAGCACCTCGTGTATCTGCTATGTAACGATATAGCTCACCATTACGTGCTCGATTATTTTGGGCTGAAATCCATCGAAATTGACCATTTAATTTGTACTCCTTTAGAAGACCATGCATCTTCTCAATCTCTTCAATCTCTTCTCTATCTTTTGACTTCTTCACATCAATATAACCAGCAACCACAACGAGGTTTACCAGATCCCTCAGTTTGGGATTCTTAGCATAGCACTCGACCAACCCAGATATGTTTTTCACCCGGTCCAGCCTTGCCATTGAGAACAATAAGGGCTTTGAACGATCATCTAGTGTGCCACTGAGCCAAGAAAGAAGAAATATCACATTATCAAGTGACTGCCACAAAATACTTGTATTGTCACATTTGATATACCATGAAGGAACTCACATGTGCACATCATTCTGGACAGGATCATACAGCAACTCTTCTATGGAACCATGTAGGGATGTAAGTCTCTTTGTCTTTTCAGAGTAAGGGAAATAAATGGCCATATCTGCTCCAGGAGACACGATATTGAACTTTGGATCAAACACATCAATTCCATGAACAACTCGGTACTGGCCCGGAAGAGTGAAAGAGCTGTGGCTCTCATACTGACCAACAGTATTCTTCCTGAAAGAACAGATAAAGAAAACCTTTAAGCAAACAAGGAAATTAACATCACTGAAACAAAGAACGAGGATGTATTTGGAGAAGCAATGACAACTCCAATTGTCAAAACCACCATTGATGATTAAGTAATGAGGTAGGTTGCTTTTTTGTATTAAGAAAACCAAAGCAGTCTAAATCGACATAACTGAGTTGGAAGACTTACGTTCCTGCAATCTCTTGGTATGTGCTGGTGATTATAAAATCTGCATTATTCATGGCTATAAGGTCAGCCGTGAACTGAGATGAGAAATGGTATTTATCCTCGAACTTCTTCCAATATATATCCGAATCTGGATATTTTGTTTTCTCCAATGCATGCGCAATCGTGCACTGTACATATCAAAACTTCAGATAACATTCTTGTTAGATAATAGGATGAAATTTACAGCTGCAAAAATATCGAACCTGTGTAACTCCCATTTTGTAAGCCAACAAAGATGCAACAAGATTCCCATCACTATAATTCCCAATTATAAAATCTGGATATCCCTGTAACTCAGCAGTAAGTTCACTTGCAGCATCCTGATCACATGCAAAACAATGACGACATCAGACATCAAAAACTGAAAAAGCATGAATGAGTGAATAATTCTATATAATTCCGATAAGCAATGAGTGAATAAAGTCATGTGTACTTTCAGAATCAAGGAAGTGACATGAGATAATGCCATCAGTGAGATCAGAAGAAGGGTTACCAAAGCCACGAGTCTACAACAGTGATGCGGATGGACAGAGAAAACTTATCCATTTAAGATGATGAAATCGCAGAAAGCATAACTTTGCAGATTTACTATTGTAAGAGAACTGACAACAGTGGAAATCAGGGATCTCTTAAATGACAAATATAGAAAGTGCCCTTTCTTCAAGGTGTAGATTTACGACGCATTATCACTTCAATCAAAATATAAAGAATAATTCCCATATATACTGTGTCAGATTTAAAGCACTATTTTCAATGATAAGAGTAATTAGGGCTTGACGCATTATCCGAATTTTACCTCAGCAAAGGTCTCCAAATAAGGCCATACATCAAACCTTGAGATCCACTTACGAAGAATTCCTTTCTCTGATCTAAAAGGAACTCTTAAAATATGGGTGTGCTCTGTTCCACTGACTCTTTCCAGCCGCTGGTTGCATGTAGTCCCTTTTGAATCAGGTATTAGCCTGGTCACCTTCAACGACCAGTGAAAGATGCGTGAACTTGTGCGCACAGAAAATCTACCATAAGGATTCCCACAATAAGGATAAAGACACTTACAATAAGGATCCTTGGAGCGATATCTAATCCTTGCCTCTGAATTCTATGCAGCATTTCATTTTCAAGGGCGCGCACTTGGTCCAGTATATAGACAATCTGCATATGCATTACGTAAATTCTCAATTGTTATGTTGCATTGATAGCTAACATCTAAAAGCTCATCATAAAAGATTACACTGTACCCAAAGTATAGGTATGAAGAGGTAATGCAAAGATAAACAAGTATCATGGAGCCTGTTAGTCATTTAAAGGAAAAAACAGACGACAAATAATACCTGCCCGCCAGTGTCAGGTAGGCCTAAAACATTTGCTTGTCCAAAGTATCCATGTGGAGACAAAATGACAACATTAAACACCATTGGTACTCTCCCAAGAAATGTCTCCAATATAGAAGGATCAGGAGCCTGAAGGATATCTAAGAGAAGATGCATCATCTCCAATACATGCACTGCATTATCTCCCCATCCTCGCTCAAAACCCATTCCTTGTAATCTACATACAAGTAACAGGAAATCAAAAGGCATAAGATACCAGGAATTGCAACTATACTGTTCTAAAGTACATATCCATTTCAGTTATTGATTCTATGAGGCAGTTGTAGTCTGGCAGAGAGAACATAGGTATTGATTTGTGTGTGCAAGTGTGTCTGGTATGTAAGCTTACACATATTCAAACTCAGAATAGGGTGTCTCGGGTGGAAGCTTAGAAAGATATTCCTCAGCCTTCCCCAAAACTGACTGAAGCTTGGAAATGCTTTGTATCCGATCATTCAACATCAACGCCTACACAATTTTTTAAAATTAAGTTAACTATCTCAAGAAAGCCCTCATACAAAAACACCAAATAGTTTGAAAACTTTATATCCCAGGAGTTTAATATTTAGAGAAAGTTATAAATCCTTTATCAGGAAGAAGTTCAAAGGACTAACTCATACCATATAGGCAAAAAGATCAAAGTAAATAAAGGTCACAGTAGCATATAGACAATAAAAATAAAAATCATTTTATAAAGTATCCTTGTTCAGCAAACTTACATGCCCTTTACATTTGTGTGCTCGAAGGAAATCAAGTAATGGCTCCAACGAATCTTTGTTACGGAACATAACAGAAGAAAGGTGGCGATTGAGGAATTGAACACCATTGCCAATGGATGAAGACCGGGTTGGACGAGGAAAAGAAGCATTAAACGGCTCAAAGTCGAGCTCAAGTACAAATTTGTTATTAGACCTGATACATGCATAGAGAAAATTATGTTATCGAGCAAAACTCATAGCTTTATAAGTTCATACAAATCTTACTTGCCAGAGAAGATAAATATTTCACAGAAGACAAAGTTTACTTACTTCCCATCGACAAGTTCTTCTTTAAAGCAAAGATATTCAGAAACAGTCAATTCTTCCACACTGAGCTCATACACATTAACACGAACGTATTCCCAAACACCTGGTCTTGGACGAACTGCTATGGCCACATATGGAGGCAGAACAATAGCTTCCTGACACCATAATATACACCTTTTATTCATGGAAAGATAATTTTACATTTTAAAAACCAAACAGGGAGTGCGGAAAGAAATAAGAAAATTGCCCAACCTCCACAAACAAAAAATTCATTTTTGATAACAATAACCTTCCATGTGCAACCCCCATCCAAATCCAAAATTTCCAAAGGTAAAACAAGTAGCATTGGAAACTATTTTCATTCAGTTATCGACAATCTATCCTATTTCTTTGGAGAGTCAGCAAATACTAGCAAAAGTTGGAATACTAGACAAAATGAGTTGGGTTGGCCAATGCAATATTGCATCTTTTATTTATATGAACCCCCAAAAGATCAATTGGAGAAGGAATTGAATTTCCATAGCTTCAGTTGTTTAGGAAAATTGATGGTGAAAAGATTTTATTCCCACCGTCATCACAGAGGAGGAGTTGGTTCATAGAATGGCGAAAAAGGATTTAGTTATGTTATACTAACTGATCCTATGTCCAATTACAGACAGATCACATGGAAAACAATAAACAGTGCATGAGAACTAATTGGAAATGTTTTTATTTTTAGCAATATCGAGTTTCTGTGAGGAAATAATATGAATTAGAAAAACCATGTCGAGAAAGAAAATACACCTGTGTTGATTTAAGGACTTCGCTAAAAGGACTATCTTTGAGCATCTGTTTGGCTTCATCACCGCTGATGACTTTCTCGAGCTCATCGAGCAAGTCATGAGGTTGCAATATGCTTTTTCCCTGATCCACATACCTTCAAACCAAACATAAAACGAAACTCAGCCATCTAACAACATACATAGTGCATCTCAGATTTTCTCGGGAAACAAACAGAGCTGAAAACAATAGAAGACGAAAGAAAAGGTTTGTTTGATGAGCGAACCTGGAGAGAAGGGCAACGAGTTCGTTGCGGTGCGCATCGAGAGTGTCCTCAACTCGCTCCCTAACGCTTAACGCTCGAGTTAGCTTAGGACGGTTCGCCATTATTCAATCAAAAAATCAATGTTACAAACAGCAAGAGGAGGAGGAGGAAGAGCTCTTCTTCTTTTCTTCTCTTTTAGTCTCACTCTGTTTCGAGAAGTATTGATGAGATATAAATAGAAAGAGAAGGAGCGAAGTTTTGGTGTGAATAATTGTATGACGTGGTAGCTCGAGGTAAGCCACTGCTACACTACACTGGTCTATACTGGAGGGTATGAGTGGATCTGACGGCCGAGATATGGCTGTGGTGTTATTCTTAGCTAATCATCTATTATCATGAACTTTTTGGATGAGATCCAAGGGTGTCCACCGCCGACAATAGTGACTAATTCCTTTTGCCGTGGGAGCTCTCCAAAAGAGATAAACAGCTGGCCACGAAATGCGCTCCATTCCCATGGGCGAGATCTATTATCATGAACTTTGTAACATGACAATGTATGATAGGTTTTGAATATCGCCGCCACAGTAATATTCCATTACAAAAAAGTTCTTCTCATTAAAGAGACGTTCGCGTAATTGAAAAACACGTGCCTTTTATATGTTGTCCTCTATATGGGTCTTATCTCCTATGTCATATGGGAGCATTTTTGCTCACCATTTTAACCCAAAGTGTATCATTACCACTCTTTTCAACATTAGACACATATCTATTGACATAATGAGATACGGCTGTGGTGTTATTCTTAGCTAATCATCTATTATCATGAACTTTTTGGATGAGATCCAAGGGTGTCCACCGCCGACAATAGTGACTAATTCCTTTTGCCGTGGGAGCTCTCCAAAAGAGATAAACAGCTGGCCACGAAATGCGCTCCATTCCCATGGGCGAGATCTATTATCATGAACTTTGTAACATGACAATGTATGATAGGTTTTGAATATCGCCGCCACAGTAATATTCCATTACAAAAAAGTTCTTCTCATTAAAGAGACGTTCGCGTAATTGAAAAACACGTGCCTTTTATATGTTGTCCTCTATATGGGTCTTATCTCCTATGTCATATGGGAGCATTTTTGCTCACCATTTTAACCCAAAGTGTATCATTACCACTCTTTTCAACATTAGACACATATCTATTGACATAATTATGGTTGCATAAATATAAAGTAAATAATTAACTATGATTATAACAAGAGACACATAAAGTGTTGAGAATGGTGGTGAAAGTACACCTTAAATTAAAGTGGTGAGCAAAAATATACCCTATATCATACGCAAGTCATAATTTATTATCATAATCAATTGATGTAAATCATATTCAACGTGGAATATAAGGTTAGGTTAGTGATGAAGTACGAGCAAAGAGTTAAAAGTTGATATTGTATGGCATAATTTAAACCCACTGACCGACTAAAACTATGGTTTATATCCACCTGTTTCTGATAGAATATGAGCTATCGTACGTCCTTCCACAATGCGCAGTTGACGGGTCCATCGACCACCGCTATAAAGCATAAACCATCAACTGGTTTCTGGTTTTTTGGACTTTTTATTTATAAAAAAAAAATTATATAAACCATCAAAGCCCCACTGGTCGCTGGTTTTTTGGACTTATATCACTTTATTTGGTTTTTTTCGTTTTTAAATTTGCCATAAATGGTTTTTTGGACATACTACAAATGGTTTAGACCATCAAGTATTAGACGCATAATTCAACACCCATAGTTTTTAGAGTATCAAACATTTAATTATGAATATTATGAATCATATTCAATTATATTGAACAACGATATTGCAGAAAGAAGGATTGAAGTATTGTAAATTATCTATCATCCGACAAACTGATGTCGGTGACTTTTAGTTTGGTGGACTGGTAATTGTTACTAACTTATCCACAACTCAAATTGGTCCCCAAGTTCTTATCCACATCTCAGATTCCAAATAAGAAAATCTAAAGTTGAAAAAACCTGGATAAATTATGTACACAGATATCTTGTACACGTGTCATGATTGTGGATGATTGTGGAGTTCGTAGCTAATTTTCGATTTGCCTCCTAATCTTTTTTCAACAACCAAATTCATCTAATTTACTGTTAAAAAGAGTCACATGCCTCTGTCCATATATGTGCACGCAATTCTACCTATGATTTACCATCTGATACAGAAATGGTTTCCTTGGAAGCAAGCTCTGACTCTAAAAATAGATCACTTGATGCATTCCAAAGTTCCTTGGCAAGTTTGGCATTATACGAAAGCACAGAGGAGTTCACGGTCCCACCCTTTCCACCAAAATAGTATACGCCAGATGTTTCCTGAATTAACACACAATTGTTCTGAATTGTTACATCTCACTGAAAAACTCCATCCATTTCAAGAGACTAAATATGCATTCACATTCATATTGAAGCATGCATTATGCTTCTATGACACGCAAGAAGAATTCATAACGATACACTTGTTAAACTCAAATCAAGGATATCACCACTCAAACCACCAGATTTCTGGTTATAAATATATTAAGAGGGGAATTTTCAAGTTCAAAAGGCATGGTTTGTTCAGAGGACCAGTCTAAACAACCCAGGCTATGTTTGACAGCATCTCCAAGATGGTGACTCTCATGTTAGAAACTTTAGGAATAAATAACAGTAAAAGTTGACATTATTTTTATTTTAAACAACTTGAACCAAATAGCCCCATCAACACCATACATAAGAACATGGCTCGTCCCAGCTTTGTTACAGTTCAATTGCTTTGTATTACTAAAAGAGATACAATACCTATGAACTTGAACAGAACATTGCTTTGTTTACCTTAAAATTCTTCTTTGGAGCTGAACTATTCAAAAATAATATGCCGCACATCTTAATATTCATTGCATAAGACAACAACACACAATTGGAAGCAGTACTAGAACACTAGCAATGACATGAATTGGTGTTAAGCTAGCTCTTGAGATGGTTTGACACAAAACTCTGATTGAGTTTGCAACACACATAGGACAAACAATCAGTGGCATTCACATTCACATGAGCAAGCTGCAAATAGTTAGAATGAGGAAATCTTACTGGTGAGGCGAGTGCTGCATCAAGAATGGAGCTAACCCCAATTTCAGGTGACTGCAACAGGCCCAGAAGTTTCAAAACTATGAAAGCCAGACTGGATAGGCACGAGGGAACTTCTCGCATGATGTTGGTTTCCACAACTCCAGGATCCACAGCACTTCAAAATAAAACTAGTCATGACTAAAATGAAGTTTCAAAACCTAGTATCTAATGCATGAATCTGAGAAAAATTAAGATTCAATGTCTACTGATTGCAATCAGAGATAGAAAACGCACTAATTGGTAATTTTCGCTATTAACAATTCTGCATAAATCTTTCAAGAGAGAAAAAAAATGGAAGAAAGGTTGTAAGCACATACATGACAGAGACCTGACGAGAGATATCCATCAAGCCAAGTTGCCGGTGAAGCTCATAGGAGAAGAGCAGCAGGAATACTATCAACAAAAGGGGCATGTTCAAATTAGAATAGAAAGAGCAGATTTTCTAGGGTAACTTATATGGTAATCAGAGCTTACGTTTGGAATACTCATAGACATGAGCATATGGGTACCGTTTTGATCTGCTGAAGCAATTCCCAGATACAATGTCCTTGTTAACCTGTACATTCAATACTGAAGAGAGGGGGGAGGGAAGAATCAGTAAAAAATTTACATTTTATAACTTTTTAAGCATCTTAAGGGAAAGCAGTTCAACAAGAGTAGAAAACTTGAAAGCCATTTTTCATCCAAGGTCTAGTCAAATTGATCCAAGCCAGAAATGATAGGATAAGGACTCTCATTACAGCATATCCTGCCCTGCATTATAAAGTTCATTAAAATTGGGCAAATTGCCAGACATGATCTAGGGAGTCAAGCACAAAACTATCCTGACAAACATAGTGATGTAACTAAGGTTTTATGGATGTATAGTCCAACAAAGTAATACGAATTAAAAAGCTCTAAGTACACATATCGGAAAGATTCTTACCACTTCGGTGTGTGAAGGACGTTACATTCACTATACGGGAAGGAATTGGACTGTTTCTGAGAAGTGGTAATAATAGTTTGGTCAGAGAGAATGCACCTAAGTAATTTGTAGCCATCATCCTGGAAGGAAGGAAAGAAAAGAAAGAAAAATGTGAAATCATTAAGGAAACCTGGATCTACTGCCAAGTGCCATATTGAAATGTTAACTAATGTAAGGGAAAAAAAATTCTTATAGCAGTACATAGATAAGAGAAAAATATAGTTATTACTGATCGTAGCCCTGACAAGTGAGTCTGGAAGAAGTTGCGAGTATCCCGGCATTGTTTATAAGGAGTTGTATGGAAGAGTGCATCTCTGAGTCAGAAAGCCACTTCTGTAGGGAGGCTTTGAACTGGAGAATTGAGCCGAATGATGCGAGATCAACCTGAAATGCTTTGAGATGTGCATTCTTATTCTGAGTTTTGATGTCCATCATCGTCTATGACACAAACAATTAATATCAGGAAATGATTTGAAGCAAGTTTTACAGTCCACCCACACCGACCCAATAAAGAATAAGCTATAAAGAAGAGGAGATATAGGGTACCTACCTTTGCTAACAAGTGGGATGAGCGTCCAACTGCAGAGAGGAATATGCATCTTAATTAATTCTAATAAAGTGAGAAAGAAGTTGTTAATTAGCATATATTGGACAATATTATTGCAAAGAAATTTCTATCATCAGGACTGATTGATGAGTGAAAACAAACAGGAATATGCTTACCAAGAATCACGAAGAAACCACGGGCGGAGAGAGCATGGGCAGCAGCCGCACCCAATCCAGACGTTGCCTGGATTAGTATTAATATTGAATAACATTACATAAAGCAAAGAATGAAATTGAAGAAGAAGAAGAAGTGAAGAAGGCATACATACACCAGTGATAATGCAGAGAGGCCTATGTCCAAATGCTGAAGGTGAAGGTGGTGGTTTGGAAGAACAAGAATATGAAGCAATGAGCTTCCAGTAAGAGATGAGGAGACAGAATGTCCAGAGCACCGACATTCTCCAGAATTCCACGGACATTACAAATTCCAGTACCTCCATCATCATCTTCTTCTTCTTCTTCTAAATAAATTTCTAATATTAATATTATTGAAAAGAATAAAAGAAATCAAAAGTGAGACCGAGGGAAAAGCCTACTCTTTTGTTAAAACTATGGCAGCGGCCAAGCCAAGCTCAGAGGCTCAGAGGCTCAGAGAGAGTGCTCTGCTCTAGGATCCAGGCTCTTGCGGCAGATTTTCTCAGTCGGACTGGAACTTGGACTTCGCAAACTACTTCCTTAATCACCAATTTAAAGCCTAATATGTGTTCATTGGAGTTGAGAAACAAATTCAATGGATATATTCGGAGCTAAATACTTGAAAATTGTGTAATTTACATACCACGAAAATATCCCGACTGGTTTCTGGCTTTTCCGTAAGAAATTAGAAATAATAATTATAAAAAAAAAGAAAAAAAAAGAAAAGAGAAAGCCCATTTAATTAGCCCAATTAGTTGTGCTTGTGAGGAAATGTTTCTCGACCCAGCCCAAAAGATTTTAGGTCAGCTTTGGACTGGCTTGTGACAAAACCAGAATTGTTTTACTTTGTGGACCATGACTGATATGCAATATGGGTCCCGCATCCGATGGTATAGGACTATTTTTTCCTTTTAATAAGTGGTGCAGCAGAGGATGCTGAAAAATAGGTGTTTGTTATACTATTTTAGAGAGGTTGCATGGCTAAATTTGGGGACATATCACTAAACATAGAACTAGTATTGAAAAGAAAAGACTAGGATCACAATTTTTAGATAGTTTTCCGGTTGGAGCTTCTAAGAATAGATACGAGAGCAGACCCCAAAATGGATATATAGAGGCAAGTACCCAATTGCTCATTTCAGTAAACGAATAAAAAAAGTCCTAAAAAATACAAAATCTGTACATAGAAAGATGTCTATGGGAAATATGGCCATTGCAAGGAGATCATCAGCCAAGGCTATTATTCTTCTTGGCTTAGCTTTGCTTTCTTGCGTGGCCGATGGCGTATCCCGTGGACATCTTTTCAAGGCTAGTGCTCGTCGTAGCGTTGCAGATACTAGGAAAGTATTTGATGTCACAGCCTTCGGTGCTAAGACTGAAGACCAGATGAAAGGAGGTAAGAGCACCGCAGCTGGTGTTGTCAAGCTTGATTTACCGTCGCTGCCGGGTGATGAGAAGGTCGATGACGAGAAGGTCGATGACGAGAAGATGGACTCTTCAGAAGAGGAAGCAGGCCCAGGTGAAGCCGGCCCAGGTGAAGGCCCTAGCGACGACAATGCATCGGTGAGTTTCCATCAAAATCATGCATGCATCTTTTGTTTTCTTCTCCTCTCCTACTAACGTGTATTAATTAATTGTGTCTATGCATGCATGCAGGCATTCATCAAGACATGGGTAGCTGCATGTAGAGGAAACTACTCTGGTCCAACAAAGGTTTTGATTCCCAAAGGGACATTTATGACAGGGCCTGTGATATTTCAAGGGCCATGCACCAGCTCAAAGGAGCCAATCTTAGTTGAAGTTGAGGGATATGTGAAAGCCAGCACCGATCTCAGTCTATACGCGTCTCCAGAATGGTTTACATTTGAGATGGTTGACGGTTTGATAGTCACCGGTGAAGGCACTTTCGACGGTCAAGGTGAGAGTACATGGAAAAGCAATGGCTGCAGGGACAAGTCCAGCTGCGCTCAAGCCCCATCTGTAAGCATACTTAATTAATAGAAGAGCACGCAGTCGTGTTTATGTTATGTAGCCATTTAATTAATTATTTGATTCTTGTTTGTTGCAGTCTCTTAAGTTCAACAAAGTGAACAACACCCTGGTCGAGAGGATCACTTCCTTGAACAGCAAGTTCTTCCACACCCACATCTATGGCTGCGGCAACTTGACGATGAACAACGTCCACATTACTGCTCCAGGGGATAGCCCTAACACAGATGGCGTGCACATAAGCAGTTCAACTAACGTCAAAGTCCTTAATAGCGTTATCGGAACCGGTGATGACTGTGTTTCCATCGGCCAGGGCACGCACGACATCCTAGTCAACAACATCACTTGTGGCCCAGGACATGGCATCAGGTAATCACTTCATGCATGCATGCAATAATCCTTAATTAAGATCGTTCATGAGGATTAATTAATAATTAATTGGGGTTTTTTTGTAATGCAGTGTGGGGAGCCTTGGGAAGCGCAAAGACGACAAGAGCGTGAGCCAGATCCATGTGAGCAACTGCACATTCAGAAACACCACCAATGGTGCCAGAATCAAGACCTGGGCTGCGGAAAGTGCAGGAGAAGCAAGCGATATTACCTACGAAAACATTGTCATGGATCAGGTTCAAAATCCAATTGTGATTGATCAAAACTACGGAAAGAAGAAGACGAAGCCTGGAACTGGACCAGCTGGTGGGGCCCAATCAAAGTGGAAGATCAGCAACGTTCATTTCAAAAACATCAGGGGAACCTCGTCCAGAAATATTGCCGTCTCCTTACAATGCAGTTCTTCAAACCCTTGCGACGGGATTGAGATGGCCGACATTAACTTCTCCTACATGGGCGCCGCTATTAAGGACACGGCCCTTACCACTGAATGTTACAATGCCAAAATTGCACCCAAGGGAGTACAGATTCCACCACTCTGCCGCTAAATTAGTCATCAATACATCATCCTATGTGTACAAGATTTCATTTCGACTCAATATTAATTAAGAAAACAAAAAATATATATGTGTTAACCAAATATCTGTCTAGTAATAGTATTCATATTTCTTTCTTTTTCTGTCTCTGATCTCTCGCTGTCTATGTATATTATAAATATTTAACAATGGATCTCGCTATATGTATATATTCCCCAATCTGATGCCAATATTCGAGTAAATTTATAGTAAGCTGTGTTTTGAATATTGAAAGGTTTTGCCCATTTATTAGAATAATATATATACATCCCAAAAACGTTTGTTCATCCATGCCTTCTTTGTTTTTATCTAATCCGAGAGCTTAATCAGAACTGAAAGTACCTTTTGTTTTTTGGACAAAACGATATTCTAAATTACACGAGAAGAGAAATCGAACTCATGTGCAAGCTTGCTATGTTTTTAATTAATTGTTCATGATCTATATACGAAATTAATAATACATGAAATTAAAAGCCGACCGGCAACACTTAGTAATCAATGAAGCAAAAAACAACTCATGCAATCATCGGTCCGACCAAGGAATAGTTAATCACGTCTGTCCTTGTTGTATAATAACTAAAAAACCTAACTCGCTATATATATATAATTGCAAATGTGTCTCTAGTGCGTACTGCTGAGTGATGCTGTGGAAGCCATTTTTGTAATATCTCGGAAGCTCAAGCAAGTTGGAGAAGATAGAAAGAAAAAAAAAAGATCCTCAAAAGCCAAGCCAACTATGTCGACTGAGGCACACGAAGAAAGTGATCAAAAGGTGATAGTTGAGGCACTCTCAAAAGGGCCTTCTCTGCAAAACTGCAATCCTTCATCAAGAAAATTCTGCGAGGCTGATTTTGTGCTGGGAGTGCCATTGGAGCTGAGCTGGGAGATGGTGGAAGAGATGACGTTTGGGTTCAGGACAAGGATAATTCTGGGGGATGATAAGAGTGAGTATTTGGCTTACGAGGGTTTGCTGCCTGTTTATGGCTACCAAGTAATGGTGAAGAGATACAGCACGTCGGATTCGAGCAGGAGCTGGTGCAGGGACGTTCTTGAAGCAGAAAAGAAAGCAACCTTGTCTATGCACCACAAAAATATACTCAGCTTGGCTGGTTACTATCAGAGTGAAAATACTACTATTCTTGTCTTTCCCTCAACGAAAAGAGGCTCATTAGACTCAAACCTCTACGGCTCTAGAGGAAAACACATGAAATTGACATTTCAAGATAAACTCAAGATAGCTATAGAAATTGGTCGAGGGCTTCGATATATGCATGAAGAAAGTCCTCAGGGTCCTGTTGTTCACGGCCAATTACTCATCAGCAACATTTTTCTCAGACGTGACTTACGCCCACTGGTGAAATTAAAATTAAAATAAATCTCCAAATTAGTTCCAAACTAATAATTAATTATGTGCTATTCTTTTTCTTCACTAATTACTATTGTTAACTGTTTGAACAGATCTCTGGTTTCGGTCGAGCTACCTGGCTTCATCTGAAACAATTAACAAAGCCAATCAACAACCAAAAGTACGCATATAGCTTAATTATTATAATTAACCCATGCATGATCATGTTTTACTTGTTATTTATATATTAATGTTTGCAATTGGTAGGGTTTCACTTCGGGATTATTTAGACCTCGAATCAATTGCTCTAGTAAAATCCGACATCCTATCCTATGGTGTCTTGCTTTTGAGGCTGTTTTGCAAAACAAGCGTGCCACAGGACGACAAAACTCTGCTTGACTGGGTTAGTTGTTCTAACCTAATGCCTAATTAAATAATAACAGTATTATTGTTGCTTTAACATATATATATGTGTGTATGTATATGATAGGCCCGTCCACTGTTGATGAAGAGAGCATTCCATGAATTACTAGATGAAGACTGGGAGGATGTAGACATGCATGAAATGTTTAGAGTCATGTGCACCGCCTTTCAGTGCACAATGCCTTGTCCAGATTTGCGACCTTGCATGAGCGAGGTAACAACTCCATCGTCTCATTAATTGTTAAACTTAATTTTGCTACCCAAGAGCGTTGCACTTGCAGTTGCTGATAAATTTATGTTTTTTGTTTTCTCTCTCTCTATTTATTTTCAGGCTCTATCTTATCTTAAAGGAGAAATTTTTTGTGAAATGCAATCATCATCTCCATCAATATCTGATACCATTTTCCATGAAAGAGAGGAAGAAGCAGAGATCGATCGATATATGCTTGCTGCAGTCTGTCTGGCAACCCAAGCTCAATCGGTTGGCAATGGCGTTCATGTAACTGCAAAACCTTGAGGATGCTATCAAATCAGTGCATATAGAATAAAAAGGGTACAAATAATAAAAGTTGAGAGCTACATATATATTTATATTTTTGTAGCATCATGATGTTGTGCAAAGATTGAAGAACTTGTGTTTTTTTTTTTTCTTTTCAAAAGATATTGAAGGACTTGTTGATTGGACTATCTTTTTAAAGAGAGTATTTTTGCTATATATTTTGGGGAAAATGGTCGGCTAGTTTCAGCCACATCCCAATCTAATCCGGATAGACTTGTTTGAATTAGGCCCTTTTGTGACATTTTTTCTTCTTCTCATTTTTCTTATTTCTTCTGGAATTCGTCCGTTCATACTTCCCCCTTGGCTACGAGCAATTAATGTATTCTATTTATTTACGACTCATTTGGTGTCCCAAGGACCACACAAAGA